AACTGTCTATATTCTTTTTCCTCTCTTTCCCAAGTCTTCATTCATTTATCTAACACTGTGACACATTCAAGGTCTTTTTAATTTGAATCTGTCTTTATTGCATATATGTAATCATTTTCTAACCAGGAGTATTTTTTTTTATTTAGAATATGCTGAGCGGGCATAGCTAGAACCAACTCTGCCGTTGTGGATGCTAGCTCTGATCAGTCCAAGATGGTGGAAGTATGTTCACTGTTTCTGCTAGTCATGCTCATTGCCCAAGCTTCAGGGACCCAGGGAGTAAATGTTGCCATTAAACAACTTGTAGCACTCTGCTCACAAACTCCATTTAAGTACAGGATCTCCTGAAAGAACCAGAATTTATTCTGCCAGCATGAACTAGGAAGTCATTTCTTAAGCCATGAATTTTTTGTCACTAACACTGAGTCATGAAGACTTCTCTTAAAGGAGGCATGCTTCACTTGCTGCCAGGAAACAGAAACTATCTGAAAAAAAAAATGTGGTTACCAAGAATGTGTTTAACTCTGTTCTTTTGTGTATAGAATTCTTTCCCAAGCTTTCCCAGTTTTTATGTGGATGTAGTGTCCCCACGTTGGTGTGCCATTTGTAGGCAGAGACTGCTCATTTGTTTTCTGACTGCTCAGACCTGAAAATTCACACAGAAACTATATTAATTATAAAAATGTTTGGCCAGTGACTTAGGTATATTTGTAGCTAACTCTTATATTTTGAATTAACTCATTTTTATTAATCTGTGTATCATCATGAGATTGTGGCCTACTGATAAGGTAAGTTTCCAGTGGGCATCTTTCTCCTTCAGCAGCTGCATAGTTTCTCTTTGACTCTGCCTTCACTCTCTATATATCTCTGTTTGGATTTCCCACCTTTCTTTACTCTGCTAAGCAATTGACCAAAACAGCTTATTTATTAACTATGGTAATAAAACATATTCACAGCATACAGAGGGGAATCCCACATCATCTCCTCATGAGGTGACACTCTTACACTGGTCCATTCTAGGACGTTCAAACCTCTTGTAATCTTAGTTTTTATTTCATTTTCAAGGTATTCATTTTCTTCCTTTTGATATGATAATGGGAATGGTCTTTTTTTTAAAGTTTTGTTATTTAAAACTCAACTTGCATGCAATTTTTCCAAGATACATAATGGAACATATTATAAATGGTAATATAAAATCCTTATCCTTAAATACATATTGAAGAGTTGGAATAACTCAAGATAAATGTGGAGCATATTTTTGTTACAAAATTTGTTGTATTTTGCTGTGGTAAATATTAAACAAGTCCTAGAGAGAGGCCTTAATTAGCCACCTGGCTCCATAAATCATTTATGTACAACATGCCCATGGACTTTTATCTCAAAGGGACAAATAGCAGTAGCCCCAGGGACTTTGCCATATGGACACTAACCTTCTCTTCTCCCTCACCATCACACAGGCTTCTGCCATTATCCTCCCCACATGTGTATAAGTATGTTCCTTCATCAGGTGTTGCAGTCAGTGGTTCCTAGGATAGACTTTTCAACTATTAGGGTAAATGGGATGTGTCTACTTCAAAGACCCTTCTTTGAAGTTCAGCATCAACAGTTCTGTTTCTAAAAGGTAAGTATGAGATGCATGAACCTTATTAGTTAAAGAAGACTTTGAAAGTAACAGAACTAATTCACTGGTTTTAGTCCTTGATTCCAGCAGAAAGCTTGTTCATGCAGGAATCACCGTGCAATGGTTGGTCTGACAATGGACCATTCTTCCAAAGGTGCCCAAGATAATGTGAATGGTCTGTGACAAAACCCTGGCTATGTTTGAGCACTAGAGACTATGAAAAGTGAATTGAAGGAAAAGGAGCAGATGTTTGGTTGGCTTTGGTTCACACTTCTGTACTCTGTTTATCTACACAGGTGGATGATAAGTCCAGGAAAAGGATACAGGGTCAGAGTTGCTGACCTGATTCAACCAGCAAGTTTGCCAACAAGAGCTCTAATACTTTCAGTTTCTAATGGAGAGAGAAAAGGGGGCAAAACCTAGCAGGGGTTCATGTATATGAATGGCTTAGTTAGGAACAAAGGAAATATCAGACTTTGTTCTTCCCTCTTTTCTTTATATTTATGGTGAAAATCTTCCTAAGTATAGAATGAACTAATACATCTCATTAAAATAATGAATAGTTCAAAGTTCATCAATATCTTATATCTATTTAAATTATAAGTTGCTCAATCATGGCATATGATCAAATACCTCTGGAAATTGTATAGATAGTATTTTTTAATTTTATCAAACAATTCTTTTCATTTTACAACAAAATTACACTGTATGGGCAGTCAAACATTTAAGGGTTTGTATGGAAAATGAGTGATTTGTACCATTAAAATAATTGTGTGAAATTGATAACATTTAAAACAGCTTTATAGATAGATGATAGAGTATCAAGGAATGTAAGGTGCCAGTTATTAAAATAATTTGAAGATGTCTAAGGAAGGGTTATCAGTTAAGAGATAGAATACATTCTTGAGTGGACAGCAGCTGTTGATTCACTGCATTTTACAATTCCCCAGTTCAAGACCTCAGTCCATTTATCAGAGGAACAATATTATTACTAGCTATGAAGAAAACATTTGAAAACATTTAAGAAATTAATACATTCTCATGCTACTTAGTAACCATGTTTGATATTTCTGGTAAATGTTTTTAATTTTTTTTTGGTTTTTAGAGACAAGGATTCTCTATAACTTTGGGGCCTATCCTGGAACTAGATCTTGTAGACCAGACTGGCCTCAAAAACGACAGAGCTGTGATTGCCTTTGCCTCCCAAGTGTTGGGATTACAGGCATCTGGCACCACTGCCCAGCTGTATTAAAATTCTTAAGAGCTGCAACAATTCTGTTAGAATGAAGTCGCATCTTTATTACTGCTGTAACTAAGAGCCTTGGGTAGAAACTGGGTATCATAGTAACACAATTATGTTGGGTTTTTTAATTCTTCTCTCAGACATTTCATCCCCACCTTCCTCTCCTCACTGTCTCCTCCACTTCCCTGAGATCCACTTCTTTTCCATTTTCCTTCAAAAGTAGCAGGTCTCTCTCACACACACAATTTTTGAAGGAAATAGAACTGTGAGAAAAAATATATAGCAAAGTAGCACTGAGGTGCATTTCAAGATGTAACTGAGGAAGGATTATGGTGTTCTCAGTTTGATGTTTTTGGTGCAGTATTTCTGTTGTGAAGCTGATTCAGAAGATGGGAAGCATTTTATTAGTAACATTAACTTGAGTGTAATAATCTAAATGGAGACACATTTATATATGGCCCCAAATTAAAATACCTGAATGAATTGTGAGTAGTTTTGAAAATTAAGGATTTAATACTACATCCAACTTTCTCAGCTGACCAAATCCTGCACATCAATCTCTAGGATTTATCATGGTGATTCTTCCTGATCTTCCCCATAGAATAAACTTTTCATTAGCTGAAAGAAAACACAAGCTGATAGAATTTGAAATCAATAGATTTTACTGAAATGTATAATTATATAGTTGGACTAACTACCATGAGGTGTCAAAAATTAAAATTCTTGCACTGAAAACTTACTATTTAAAAGACTTTTATTAAAAGTTTAAATATTTGTATTATTTTATGTGAAGAGCGTTTTCTCTGCACGTGTGTATGTGCATCACATGAGGTCAGAAGAAGACCTTTGAGTCCCCAGAAGAGAACTACAGATGTGGTTTCTGGGAATGGAACCCAGGTCTTCTGAAAGAGCAATAAAGCACTTTTAAACCATAAGCCACATATTTGACTGAAATGGTTTAGAATTATTTTTTATTCTGTGAATTTCATATCAATATTATAACATTTTAATTTTCATTGAGATTTTAGTATAGCTGTTTTAGCAGGTATTTTCTTTTCTGGATAAATGTATTTATTGTTGTTTATGCTGTCTTAGGACTGCTTCAAAACACTAGAATTTTGTGTTTGTCACAATGAAGTGACTTAACAGAGAAGGCATGGAACTATAAAAAAATACATCAAAGTACACGTACAAAACAATTAATGAATGATACTTAGCAAATCGGTTTAACATTTTCATTACTTCATGTCAGCAAAATAAACTTAACTTTGAACACACATACTTTTTTCTTGAATTATTGCCTTAAGAAAAGTAAGAAAATAATATTATTATTTAAATTAGGATTTCTTTTATATAATAGTGTTTCTAGTTCTAAGAGTAAGGTCTGAGAGCAGATGAAGATACAAAAGGAATTAATAGCCATTCATCAAATTGTCACCATTAAATTGAATTGAATAATAATCACAAAATTAATATCTATGTAGTGTTTCATCAGACCATTCTCAAAACTTGCTTGCAATTATTTATGATGTCACAGAATTTTTATATGAAAATTTACACTTAAAATACTACTATAAAATTGTTTACTCATAATGTGTTAATGCCATTTTAGTTTACATCTGGAAGGAACAAACCTTGGAGAGAAATGTGGCAAATTCCTAATTTTTGATACAGGCCAGAATGTCTGCCAAATTTCAGATACAGCTAGCTGTGTGGATGCAGAATTATTCCCTAAATACATATTACAGGAGGAGTGGGTGTAAAATAGGATGGATGAGAAGAAAGGAAGTGAGGTATGTCTAGGATTTCAATGTGTCATGGAACAAGAGGAGAATCCCAGTATGTCATAGGAAATAGATTTGGACCTTGGGAAACAGTTCTGCCTGGAATAGAAGGCTGGCAAAGCACTTTCAAGAGATATCATGTGACATATCAGAGAGTGAGGTACAATCTTCCTCATTTTATGCAAAGAAATAAAACCCTCAATTATGATTTAAAATCCCTTAGTAAGTGAATGTTGGAATAAAGAAGACCTGGTTGAGTCTAGGGAATATTCGTATGTAACCTGGACTGTACAGAATGAGCATATTAAACAAATGAACATTTCATTTTTCTCAGGAACAATTCACAAAGAAAATGAAGCCTGGAAACTACACAAAAGTGACAGAATTCATCCTTTTGGGGTTAACAGATGATCCTATACTTTGTGTCATCTTCTTTGTACTTTTTCTCGGAATATACATTGTCACTTTAATAGGAAATATCAGCATAATTAATTTAGTAAGAAATTGTCCTCAACTCCATACCCCCATGTACCTGTTCCTTAGCCATTTGGCTTTTGTTGACATTGGCTACTCCACATCAGTTACACCTATAATGCTCATAGGATTTATTGTGCATGGAACAGCCCTTCCTGTACATGGCTGTGAAGCGCAACTCTGTTCTGTTGTGACTGTTGGGACAGCTGAGTGTTTCCTGCTGGCTGCCATGGCCTATGATCGATATGTAGCTATCTGCTCACCCCTACTCTACTCTACACAGATGTCTCCCCAGATCTGCTTTCTCTTAGTTGGGACTTCCTATGTGGGTGGCTGTGTGAATGCTTGGACATTTACGGGTTGCTTGTTAAGTATATCTTTCTGTGGAGCAAATCAGATAGATCACTTCTTCTGTGACTTCTCCCCTTTGTTGAAACTTTCCTGTTCAGATGTCTCCATTATTGGAATAATCCCCTCCATCTCTGCTGGCTCCATCATTGTAGTGACAGTGTTTGTCATAGCTGTCTCCTACATCTACATCCTCATCACCATCCTGAAGATGCGCTCCACTGAGGGCCGCCACAAGGCCTTCTCCACCTGCACCTCCCACCTCACTGCAGTCACTCTCTACTATGGGACAATCACCTTCATTTATGTGATGCCTAAGTCCATTTATTCAACTAAGCAAAACAGGGTGGTATCTCTGTTCTACACAGTGGTGATTCCCATGTTGAACCCCCTCATCTATAGTTTAAGGAACAGAGATGTAAAGGAGGCCCTGAAGAAAGCAACTGTAAGAATATTTTCATAGAATCTGTTCATTGAAGAAACATACATATTTCATTTATACAGGTCACTCTCAGCATCCATCACAGGGTGTTTAAATTAACATCCTATTTTTTCTTTTCTAAATCTCAGTTTTAATCTTTGTTCATTTAGAGGCTATCTATATTAAAGTCTTTAATTTTTTTGTATTAAGTATGGAATTCCTGCAGATGTCAATAAATTATCCTTTTCAAAATTCATGTACCAAACAACAGTTTGCCTTTGCTGTGTGTCATATTAATCTAAATTCATTCTTCATACAAAAATAATAACCTAGTGAAATGACATCATTAGTTTTATTTTACAAATGACTTATCTAAGGAGGTAGTTAGATTATCACACTTAGGTACATAGATAGTTATTTGATTAACATTGAGAACCTGCTTCTAAAATCTCTTCTTCTACAATTAATTTTTACACTAAGTCTGCTGACGTGGGATTAAAATCTTTCCCTAATTCACAGATGAGAAATATCAGTGAGAAACTGGTCTGTAAGAGATCAAATAGTTTATCCAAATCAGTGTGTATTCAAGGCTGTTGATGCTATCTTTCATCAACTGTGCTTATATTCCCTCTCCACATTCAGTACAGTGACCTGGACACTGAAAATAATGTGAGGGACTGGATCGATGATACACTGCTTCAGTCTTTTGGGGAAACCATGTGCAGATATAGTCTATGTTATACCAACACTGGAGGAAGTGTAAATCTTGAAAAACTCGACTTATTCTCTTTATAAATTCATTTTTATGTTTAGATAATTGGATCTTGAAGTTTAATCAAACGCCTTTCCACAGTCATATTTTCTCGGGCCTAGAACTTGTGGGCAAAAGAAGGACATTTGTCACAGACCATACTGCACACTTTTGCCTAGTGGAAAGGACAATAATTTGTAGATGTATGATTTTTATTAGGAAAGAGTGAGACAAATTTAATATAATATCGTACTTCAAATTAAATGCTGTAACAACTGATTATGGCACCAGAAAGGGTGATTCAGACTTCAACTATTATTTCTCAGTGTGATAAGGTAAAAGATATTAGGGCTTGGAGATACTTTGAAGTATCTAGTCAAATGGAAATTATTCATATTTCACTACTGAGTGAAATCCTACAGTATATTTCAATGAAAGATTCTAAGCAAGACTGAAAAGAAACAAGGTAAATTAAATGCAGAAAAATATGAGGTACTGCATAGGAATTTCATGCTTTCATTTTTCATAGTTTAATACCTTATTTAAAATTTGAAATCAAAAACACTGAAAATAAAATTAGGCCATGAAAATTGATCACTGATCAGAAGTGCTTACCACCACGTTTGATGAGCTGAATTCATACACATAGATAAACACAAAGTTAAAGTGAAAAAATAAACAAACATAAAGATTGAGGCTAGGTTACAAGGAATTCAGGTAAAGGACACCAAAAACCAGTGGTCTTTACCTTCATGACCCCAAATTCTTTCTATCATGTTATGTCAGGGATTGGAATTGCTTTACTGGTAGACACAGGATAATTATTGAAGCATCCATTCTATCTAGATGTTGAATGTTTATTATATTATAAAAGCAAATATATACTAAAAACATGCTACCAAATAAAATAATTGTGATGAAGTTGGTATTTTAATAGATAATAAAATAGAAAACAATCAACATTTTAAAATTTAGAATTTGGTAGAGAAGCATAAATAGAATTGTTACCAGTGTCAAAGTTAGGTGTGGTGGGATGGATGGTATTAGTTTGCATAAACTAGTGATGAAATCCCCAATGGGCAAGTAATATTTGAGCAGAAAATAGGGAAGGTATTGTAGGTGTGGAGAACGAGAAAAAAGATTCCAGATGGAAAATAACAAGTTCACAGCTCCTGATAATCTTAAGAAGTAAAAAACATGTCAGGGTAATCCAAGAAAAGACTCGTGGAAGATAGAAGAGTATCTGGATTCTATTCTAAAGTATATGGAATAAATTAAGATTTGAAAATAGGTGTAACACAATATGACCATACTTTTAAATATCAAATGTGTAGTATAGGAAATTTGTTTTATGAACCCTACAAGCTAACCAAAGTGGCAAGACATGCCAACTGGTACTATAGCGACACAGATGTCATGGGAGTAACCAACTACATACTGACTGTAACTAAGACTAGCTCCATGAGATGAAACTCATACTTATCACTACTATTAGAGACAAATCATGTAGAGGACAGGTAATAGACCCTATGGAAGAGCCTACCACTATTATCCTGCTGACTTCAAATAGTATTAAACTCCATTGGAATGATTTAACATTATACATTAGTACATTATATATTAGTACTTCTCCCAACCCTTATCAGCATAGGTTCTTTTTGCAGAAGATGGTGATTAACAAACAACTTGTCAATGTGTAGAGAATTGGAGACTGAAATTCTCAGCTCTAAATGGAACAGCTAATTCATATCTCCATCTTTCCAAGCTCAAGAATCATTGAGAGAGAGTGGATATAAAGACTGCAAGGGCCAGAATTGGTAGATGCCTACAAGAAAAGCACAGTTTTGAGGACACAAGCAGAATGGTTATAGATGTAAACTCATGGTAGCTGTGTCAGTGTGTACAAGCTCAAAACAGACACAATGTCAGCATGGGGAATAGATGTGTCTATAAAGTCCATTCCTAATTGAGGAGTTATTAGGAACTGATATCTGCCAGATGAAGAATAGTCAGTAGGCCAGCCAGGGTTCAGTGAATTCCAATAAAACTAAGTGTATACATGCATCACAAGTGTTATTTGACAAAATAAATATATGGGGTTGAGTATGTAGGAGTGGGAAATATAGGATTGAGAGTAGTTGGGGAGAGGGGGAAACAGTATCAAAATATAGTGTATAAGATTCTCAAAGATACATTTAAAATACAAATAAAATTTTAAAAAGTTTTTTAAATTAGGGGAGAGAGAAGGTGGGGGAGAAAGGGGTAACAAGCAGGTTAACAACCAAAACTGAGATGATAATCACATTGCTCTTAGGTGACAGCCACTATTATATAGTTTTACAACTACTCCTAAGAAAATCTTTTCTTAAGAAATTATGTCTTCGAAGCACCCTTAATCTCAGTATTCCTGAGGCTGTAAATTAGGGGTTTTGACATGAGAATCCCCACCATATAGAACAAGATATTACCTTTTTCGTCAGTGAAGTAGCTGGACTTGGGTGTCACATAAATGAATGTGATGGTCCCATAGCAGAGAATGACTGAAGTGAGGTGAGAGGTGCAGGTGGAGAAGGCTTTATGGTAACTCTTAGTGGAGTGCATCTTGAGGATGGTAATGAATATATAGGAATAGGAGACAGCACTGACAAACACTGTGATCGTAGCAACTGAGTCAGAGCAAATGAGGTACAGCTTCAGGGACACTGGCATCAGAACAGGAGAGTTCCTCCAAAGAAGCAAAATCACAGAAAAAAAAGTTTGATTCTACTTGGTTCACAAGAAAAGAAAAGGAAAGAAAAGAAAAGAAAAGAAGAGAAAAAGGAAAAGGAAACAGTGGCAAAGTAAGCATCAAGTAAAGCCCCTATATAATGTCCTACAACCAACTGGATATAAATTTGTGTGGATATTTTGGAGAATAAAGCAGTGAGTTGCAGATTTCCATGAAATGATCACAAGCCATGGCAGCCACAAAAGGAATTCAACTGACCCAAAGAAATCAGATATGCCAAGCTACATACCACACGCAAGATAGTATATTGTACTTCTCTCTATCAGGAAGCTGATAAGCATATTCTTTGTGAAATAATAAATTCAAATTTATTATTAGTTTATAACTTCAAAGATTTCCTCTGCTGTTATTGTTTGTCACTGAGAGTATATCTCTACTGAAGCCCTGGAATCTAGTATCAGGGATCATTCCTTTATTGCTATTGAGTAATGATCATGATCAGTTCTTTAAATAAAAATCACTATTAATTTTCCTTTTTATTTGAGGATTGGTACACTTTCATTAGATCATTATGGGAGGTACGTAATAAATTATCTTAAGTAAATGTTTAAGTTGATGTTTTATTCAGGTTAGTTCAGATTAGAAGATATTAGACAATTATAAAAATATAATATTTTGCTTTCTTTTATTCTTGTGCATCAATTTTTCTTTCAGTATTTTAGTGATTGACGCAATATACTCTGTTATGTTCTTCTTTGAATATAGGGAGGTGATGTGGGATTTTCCTCTGTATGCTGTGAGTAAACCAAGAAGCTTATTTGGGCCTATAGACAAGGCAGAATAGAGCTAGGTGGGAAAACTAAACTGAATGCTGGGAGAAAGAAGGCAAAGTCAGTGAGAAGCAGCCATGTAGCTGCCCACAGAAGAAACCACGTAGCCTCTGCCAGAGACAGACACTCTAGGACTTTACCTAATAAACCATAGCCATGTGGCAATACACAGATTAATAGAAGTGAGTTAATTTAGGATATAAGAACTAACCAAAAAGAAGCTAGAACTAATAGGCCAAGCAAAGATTTAATTAATACAGTGTCTGTGTGGTTATTTCAAGTCTGGGCAGCCAGGAATGAACAAGCAGCTTTTCCCAGTCAGCAGAGAGGGATAAGATGCAAAGCTAAATACACACAATTTTATAACCAAGAGCATAAAATATAGTTATTACCTAGAAAGTAGTATATCTGGAGAGAGTTATAAATATTCTTCAGTAAGAACATTTCACAAATAATTGACAGCAGGTCTCACTTATATGCTAAAATGGTGGATAGAAGGCACAGTGAT